TTTTTTTTTTTTTTTTTTTGCTTTAAGGTAGAGCCTAAAATTAATGTTTAAGGACTTAATGTGATTATTAATGACTAATTTATCTCAATTACTGTAGCATAATGTGGCCTATGCGGTAACCCCCCCACCCCCAGCAGGCCCAGTTTCCATCGCAGCCAGAACCGAGTCGGGTCCACTCTTGATATGTACCTGCTGCTTGTCAAAATGATCCCTCTCGGCTCCGAGGTGCGCCTCGGTCCGCTTGCTCTTCACCCGGGTGTGAATGCTGTTCATCCTTGCAGCTCCGCGCGACGCCTTCACAGAGGAAATATCCTCCTCCTCCTCCTCTTCAAAAACAAGAATAAGGTCCAAAGGAGCTGAGAGCGCCGCGGTTCGTCGTCCTGCCTTCAGCTGAATGGGTCAGGGACATAGCTGAACCTCATTACTGCTGATGCGTCGCGAATCAACCAGAGGAAAGGCTGCGACTGTTGGCGTGACGTCACGCGGTAGGATCCGCCCCCAAAAGGTGGGAGGAAGCAATGAGCATCCTCCTCGTGTCCTCTACATCCTCCTACATGCAGGTGGTTTTCGCCCCTTAATAGTGTTTAGTTTTTAAATGTTGRTTTATTTTTTTCTGGTGTCCATTGTCCGGTCAGTGCCGCCATTACAGTGAAATTTAAACTCATCAGGATTATTTTTGGGTTAATCCGGAGTCTGACTCTGGGGTTAAAACAAGCAAGATGACATAAAGCAGGAAATTAAAGTTATTCCGAAATGAGAGGATGTGGGAGGAGTGACACACACACACACATGGCTGTGACTTGATACAAAACATTACAGGGAACAGGGATTAAACTGTGTAATCTGAGGATGTTTGGTTCCTGCACATGTCAAAAACAAAACAAGTATTTTACAATAACAACAACAACAATAATAATAATAATAATACATAGAGAAACTGCACTTCTTGTGTAAATGATGAAGCTAAACAAAAGCTAAATACGAGCTAAAAGCTAAATGTATAAAACGGTTAACTAAATGTACCAGAAGCTAAAAATGGTTAATGTAGCAAAACTACTACTACTACTACT